AAAAAAAAAAAAAAAAAATATGTGAGGAAATTCGTCTCAAAGGTGTGGACAGGTGTGGACTCTTGTATTCCTTTTGGAACCTGGGCAAGATGAAGCCGTCTTACATGGTAAAGATGTGCTCTTTTCTTAGGAAGAATCCCTGGAATTCCTGGTCACTGCCCTGGAGACATCCTGTCTACACACACAGCTATGTACTTGCTAACACCTTCCACAGTCGCTGGAACCAACTGGGGAAATGTTTAGAAAATTTATAATGGTTATGTAAGATAAAATTTAGTTAACGACCAAAGAAAAGGAGCAGCCTCTTCAATGAGGCAGATAGAAAGTAGTGTTTTTCTTATTATGAGGCTTGGCCTGAGTAGGGGCTTGGAAGGCCTCCAGTAGCCGCATGCCAGTTTTAAAGAACTGAGGAAAGACAAGACTAGTTTAACCGGTTCAACCAACGCTCTGGAGAAAAACGAAGAGCTACACCTGGTGCTCCCAGGCAAGAACCTGGCCAGGAGGCTGAGGGCCAGGCAGGTGCAGCCTCGGAGCACAGACTGTTAGGCCCTTGTCTTCCTGAGCCTTCCAAGGGCATCCCTGAACCTTGGGGTCCTGGAAGGTGAGGATGCTGTGCAGGAGAGAGGACTGAGCTGGGAGGGCCCACTGTTAGGAAATAGGGTCAGTCTCGATGGGCTTTTCGTGTCTCTCCCTTTCCAAAATCTCTGTGGCTCTGAGGCTGGCCTCAAAAACGTGCACAGAGATTTTTATTTATTTTGTAGTGCTGGAGATTGAACCTAAGGCTTCGTGCATGCTAGGCAGATGCCCTACCTGAGCCAAAAACCCCACCTCTGTGCACAAATTTTAACCATCAAATTGTTCAGTTAGTAGAGTGAGTTGGGGATCTGATTTTTGCCCTGAACAGAGTAGAATCATAATGCCATGGTGTTGGTTAACTGAAAGCTTAAGGGCGCTGTTCTGAGGCCAGCCTTGGGCTCCTTGGTGTTGGGAGCTTGCTGTGAGACAGGTAGTTTGCAGCAGTCAGAAAAGGTGCAGCGGCCATCACACTGTTTCAGGAGACCCTCATTTGAACTCTTGTGGGGCACAGGCCCATGTCTGGCTTCATAACTCACCATGCCCTCCCCACCCTCTCTGCCAAAGGTCATTGCCCTGTCTTTAGGACTCTGAAAATAATAAACTTTGCACACGCTTTCCTTAAAGAACTGGCTCCCATAAAAGCAGAAAGCCTCCTGCTCCAGCCAGTCTGCCCTCAGTGACAGACCTGTGTGAATAGGTGCTTGTTTGTCGTCTGGCTTCTGCTGAGTCCCTGAGGTTAGGATGGAAATACCCTGCCTCTCTCAGGCCTGGGGAAGCTAGATCCCGGCTGAGGAATTGGCCCAGACCCGAGTGAAAGCTATTGTTAGAAGCTGGAGCAGCGGCTGGAGTCTGGCAGCTGTGGAGGTGTCTGTCCTGATGCTCCTGCTGGGGGAGAGGAAGAGGGAGGAGGTGGTATAGCCAGGTGCAACAGCTGCCGACAGGCTGCACTGACTTCCAGATCATTGGTAGGGGTGCATGAAGAGTAGGGGACATGGAAGTCGGTGGCTAGAAGAGAAGGCACCATTTGTGGGGGCTGTGAATCTGAAGCACCCCGAGCCTGTCCTGTAGCGAGTTCTCCCCTCTGGGCTATCCTCACTGCAGCCTAACTTGCTGTGACAACTGGTTCGCACCTCGTAGTCCTGGGGTGTAGAGATGAGGTGCTGCTGAAAGAGGACACTCTGCTGAAGATGCCCCCTCTCCCTAGAAGATAGTGTAAACCAGATTTCCCAAGGAGGAAGCCAGCAAGGCCTGGCCTTGGTGTCGCTGCTGTGTCCTGTGCCCCATAAACTGAACCCCAGCTCTGCATATGCTGAAGAGGGTACAAGACCAGCCACTCTTTCGCACCTAGGCTGGAAATGGGACCAGGGTTAGAGCCTGTGCCCTGCATTAGTCACTGGAGGTTCTTCTCCCACCTTCCTTCTCAGTGCCACCAGGCACAAGAAGCGCATATTATGTCCCCGCTGTCACTGCTGACTTGGAGCTGACGCCAACCTTCCCTCCCAGTCAGGCAGCAGAATGTGTCTTTGGCTCTTTCCCCCAAACCTTGTATAATCAGTAGCTTTGGTGTCCCTTGGGAATGCATTTCCAGAGCTCCCCCCAAGGCATCCAAGCCCTGGTATACCAGAGGGCAGCACTACCACCCCTCAGTCCGGCCTGTCACTACCTTAGGGCCCCCGTGCGTACTTCACAAAATGGGAAGCTGGGAGAGGAGTGTGTTTTCCAGTCCCATGGGAAAACACCCTTGGGCCTGGTCCTCAAGGGAAGCAGCCCTGGTGGCCAAGTGGAAGGAACTTGGGCCACTCATTGGTTTGAGTTTATCCAGAGACCTTGTAGCTGGGACTGTGCTTCTAGAAAGCAATGTGCCTGTGAAGTCAGGTGTGGAGGTAACCCAAAGAAGTAAGGCCCTTTTCCTCCTCCTCCTCCTCCTTGGCTTCTTTAACCTGACAAATGGCACCTGTCAGAAGTGTTATCCTTGATCTCAGAGGAAGCAGAGTTATGCCATCACCTCCACCCAGCCTGTCACAAGTGGCACATCTGTTTGGGCACCAGAGGAGCCCTGCTTGCCATTCCGGGTCAGTTCCATGGTATGGTTGGAAGGGTACCATCTAGCACTGCCCCCAGCCAGGCAGTACTCCGTCCTGCCCCCCAGTAGTGACGATGGTTAGCTTTTTGTACATAGTAGCAGGGAGATTAGGAGGGGCTTGAGAGGCTATAACAAGGTAAAACCCAAAGGCAGGAAGCTCATCTTTGATCCCGTTTTCATCAGCCAGTGTTTGTCAGGATCCTCCTCCAGGAACCTTGTTGTTGTGCTGTGGGGTCCCTGCGATGGTTTCCCTGCAGCAGTGGGCCGCAAGCTCCTGTCAATGAAGATGGGAAATGGCTGATAGCCAAACTTCTGCTTCAGCCATTTCTAGTCCTCTGCTACAATCCCAGTGATACCTGGGGCAGCTGAATCTGAGCCCCACAGATGGGGGCAGGAAATTTTATTCAGCCCGCAAACTACTTGTGGGGCCATGTTCTTTCTGCCTCTGCTGAGGAAGAATGCTGGGCTAGGAGCTGGCTTCCCCACACAGTCAGATTACAAAGTTCTCACTCCTCCCTGCCCCCAGGAACCTCCAGGTGGCCTTCTGCAGCCTTGGTCCCAGGGAAGTGTGCTCTTGCCATGCGCCAGCTGGGAGGACAGTTGCACATTTCAGCTCTTCCCACCAGAGCTGTAGCCCCTGGTTGGCTGGCAAGGCATATAAAACTGCTTTGTAAAATGGCTAGGAAAAGGCTACATCTAACCCCGGGGCTCAATTTTTGAGTCCTTGACAGCACAGGCCTTCCACTCCAGGATAAGGAAATGAAGCGGCTTATACCTTTTGCACTGACCCTTCACTTAGTGATGTGTGGTGTGGAGAAAGAGGCAATCCCAGGCCTGCCTCTCCTGCCTCATATTATGTCAGGTCTGGGGCCACACAGGCCCTCTTGGGGCAGATGCAGTGGAGAAGGAGCATGGCCTGCTCAGGAAGCTGTTGAGGTCTAACTTGCCCCCTTTGGTGCATAGCTGAGTTAGCCATCAGTAGGGGAAATGAGAGCAAATTGCTTTGAGATCAGTGATGTGGGTGAAGTCACCTAAGTTGTAGAGTGGGGAGACTGAAAAGCAAGAGGGACTGTAGCCTCCCCAAATGCTAGGTCAAGGGTAAGATGCCTGAGTCAGAGAGTGAGGAAGAAATGGCCAAGAATGTCTGCCGGACAACTCCACCCTCTTAATAAAGCCAAGCTATCTTTCCTGCCACCTTTCAACTGTTGAGATTTCTTTCTCCTCCAGTATTTTATTGTGAAAAATGCCAAACATCAAGCAAAGCTGAAAGTGTTCTTCAGTGAACACCTATACCCTTATCTCCTAGGGCTTACATTGTACTGGGCTTGCTTTACTGCCTGTCTGTCCACCCACCAACCCATCTTGTTCTTCTGATGTACTTCAGAGGAAAATGCAGATTGGGCCTTTTAAGTATAAAAGTAATGTGTGTTCAGATATTCAAAGAATACAAAGCCACATAAAAGTATTTTTCTGTGTACCCTTCCAGGCCTTTCCTTTGCCTACACAAACATATAAGTATGTATGGTATCCAGTGCTTTAGAACCATAGGATCTTCTCTTTGTGTCAGTGTGCCACACACCACATTTGGAGTAGCTGACTATGATCTCCTTTCTGTGTTCGTATCACCCCTTCCAATAGCCCGTGGGTTAGCCAGATGTTAACAGAGAAGGTTCTGGGGGAAAGACGTACTGAGTCACCAGAGCTTTTTTTTTTTTTGGTCCCAAGGATAGAACTCAAGACCTTGTAATTGCTTGGCAGGTGCAGTGCCACTGAGCTGAATCCCCAGCCTAACCAGAGCCTTTTAAGCCATGAAGGGTCTGGTTTTGGGGGCCTCCCAATGTTTCCCTTTTTACCAGAACAATCAGAAGACACAAATAGCAGTGGGGGAGGTCATCTGAGTAGAGAGTCCCTGTCTCAGCATCACCATTCACGGTCCCCTTGATTTGGGCAGGATATGTGGCTTCTTGGGGCTTCCATATCCTCAGTGAGAAAGATGCCTTTCACCTTGTTCATAATATGAGGCTGAGGAACATCCAAACAGGGACTCTCAGTGTATACCACAGGCAAAGGTGCCGAACGTAAGTCTTTGATCCTGCCATAAGACATCATGGCTCATGGCCATCATTTGCTCACTTGATGTCTCTCCTGCGGCTTGGGGAACTTAAGGGTAACCTGCTCCTGTCGTCTTTCTCACCTGCCCTTCACATGTCAGAGTTTACCTGTGTCTGTGTCCTGCCATCTTGGACTGCCCTCTGAACTTTCTCTCTGGACCATTTCTTTATCCCACATCTATACCTGTGGCCCACAGCTCTGTTCTGAACCCCACTCTAGACTTTAGCAGATTCCTGGAGGTCTCCATCAGCATGTCCCTGTGGAGATGCCTACCTGGAAATCGCCCACCTGGAAATCGCCCACCTGGCCCTGAACTCGTCACTTCCTACGCAGGCGTGTCCCCCTGGGGTCCCTCCCAGTGACAGACATACACCTTGTACTGAACAGTCGGCCTCCAGAGTGGGGCGCTCCATCTTTGGGCTCATCCCATTCTGTTCTCTGGTAACTCCGAGAGATGTGGTCAGGATGCACCTCCATGCCTCTCTGTTAGGCGGACGGGACCCAACTCCACAGTAGAGCATGAGGCTGTCTTCAGAAAATGGCCTCACTGGGCCCCATGCTTCATGTGCCTCTCACACCTGCCTTAGCAGTTCAGGTACGCGGCACTGGAACCTGCCCCGTCTGCAGCCTCTGCCTCTCTGCCCACCTCATCGTGGCCTCTCAAATCTTCCCTGGACAGTCCCTGTCCCACGTGGGCACCTTCCACAACCATCACATCTGCACCTCTTCGTTAAAAGACTACCTAGGAATTGCCATGCTATGCGTTTTGGTTTTCTTGTTCAACCTCCCCAGCAAGACTGTGAGTGCCTGGAGTCCTGAGACTCCCGCTTAGTCACTCTGAGTTGCCACTGAGGACTGTCAGAAAGCACTACTGAGCTGGCCACAGATTTTGCCTTGTGCTCGGGCTTTGCCTGCCGGGCTCTACTGCCTGCTTCTGCATATGCAGGAGCTGCCTTCCATTCATTCCTCTGAGGAGGGGAAGCAGAGTCTCCTTTTTCTATTTTGAAATTGAGGAGAAATTCACATAAGCTTAGCCATTGAAAATGTACAACTTAGGGGCCGGGGATTTAGCTCAGCGGTTCGGTGGCCCACCTCACAAGCACAAGGACCCAAGTTCAATCCCCGGTACCACACACACAAAAAAAAATGTACAACTTAGTGGCACTTGGGACATTCACTGTTGTGCAACAACTACCCTCTCTGTCTCTTTCCAAACATTTCATCACCCTGAAAAGAAACCCTTCAGTGTGATCCTACTTATATGAGCTCCTAACATCATCAAAGTCATAGAACCAGAGAATAAACTGGTGTTTGCTACTAGTGGAGAAGGGAGAAATGGAGTCGTATAAAGTTTCAGTTATGCAAGATGAAGAAGTTCTAGAGATCTGTTATACAACATGGTGCATTTCAAAATTTGTTAAGAGATCAGATCTTGTGTTAAGTGTTCTTGCCACAGAAAAATGTTTTTTAAAAGGGAAGGAAATTCCTTGTCCATTAAGCAATCATTCCCCATTTTCCCCTGCCCCCAGTCGAAATCTGCTTTTTGTCTCTGTGGATTTGTCTGTTCTGGATATTTTGTAGAGATGATACCATAAAGGAATGGCCTTTTGTGTCTGGCTTCTCTCACTTAGGATAGCATTTTTGAGTTACATCCACATTGTAGCGTGTATCAGTCCCTTTCTTGGTGGAGCGGTATTCTGGTGTGTGGATATACCTCATTTGGTTTATCCGCTTAGCAGCTGGTGAACATTCAGGCTGCTTTCCACCTTTGACTACAATGGATTGTGCTGCTGTGAATGCTCACGTCCGACTATTTGCATGTGTAGCTCTTTCTTCCCTTTATTCCTACCTTAAGCACCCCCTACATTACATGTTTTTCCAAACCAGAAATCAGCATGCCTGGAGTGTGCGTGTGTTCTGGGGAAAGCATATCAAGGGAGCAGATTGCCTCATACTGCCTGTGCTTCTTCTGCCCCTCTCCAAACCTTTCTCATCCTCTGCCACCTGGGCCTTCAGTTAATCCCATTCGGGATTAATCCCCTTTTGTCTTCAGGTGTATAATATATGATGCATGTGTCTTATCTTCACAGCGAGGGTCTTTCTTAAGGTCAAGATCCCTCGTGAGCTCTGTACCCCACAGACCCTAGCAGTTTGGTCACCTGTGCTCACCCTGTGCCACCCACCCGCCAGTGACTAACCTTCTTGTCTGTCTTGCAGATGACGTGCTGACTAAAGATGCGGGTGAGTGTGTGATCTGCCTGGAGGAGCTGCTTCAGGGGGACACGATAGCCAGGCTGCCTTGCCTGTGCATCTATCACAAAAGGTACAAGAGCCCGGCCGGGGCAGCTCAGCCACATCCCGTGTCCTGAGAGGCATAGCAGACCGCTGTCAGGAAGGTTCCATGACCCCAAGTGTAGGGCAGAAGTGAATCGCCCAGGATTCAGCTCTGCTTTGACAGCCCAGAGTGTGGGAGTGGTGGGGAGATTAGAGCTCTGCCGCTTAGAGGTGCTACAGATTCCACCTAGAGCTTCACTCCCCCTCTGCCTCCCTGAGCCTGTTCTTCCTGCACTGGCCCCTTGGCTCCACAGGGTGCTTGTCCAGAGGACTACCTGTGGGCACTGAGAGCAGCTGTAACAGCGTGCGAGGTTCATCCTCAGCTCCAGCTTCTGGTTTTCAACCAGAAAAAAGACACCTTTTTGTCCAAGGTGGAGAACACCCTGTGTTCCTGAGGCTGCTACCTGCTTCTGCTTTTCAAGCCCCAGAGCTGCTTTCTGGCACCAAGTAGGCCTGACATGAGGCCACTGGCCTACAGGATGACAGCCTTGTGTGGTATATGGAAGTGGCTGGTGCAGAAGCCCATGGTTGACTTAGGGGAGAGCTGTGCTTCTTGGTCTCAGTCCCAGCACACAGCCTTGCAGTGTCCCAAAGAGGCACTAACTGGAACCAGAAAGCACAGCCCTCAGTCCTGGGGGAAGTTTATGCAAATTATCTATCTGGTTCCTGCCTTTTAAAATGCCCACATGGGGTTTACATATCAGGAAGCTGTCTTGGGGCCATTGCTGTTCCTCTTGAGGCAGGCAGTCCTGTGTAAACACTGGAGACAAAGGATTCACTGACAGCCTCCTCCTTGGCTCACTTTCTTAGCAATATCGTGCAGCCCAAGGTCCTGTGCCCTTTCCTACCTGCACTGGAAAACTTGGGGTTCTCCTGAGAGGGTATTCACAGGGGAGGTAGTGTCATGGCTGCTGTCTAGATCCAGGAGGAGCCGCTCTCAGGATCCCAGAGCTGGGAGCCTCGCCAGCCTGCCTTGTCTTTGTCCCCAGTTCCCGTCCCTCAGGCCTTGGAGCTAGTTGACTGCATAGTTGACCGCAGTTCATGCTCCTCTCACCTGCCCCTTCTCCCTGGTGATTGTTGCTGCCCTCTCGGACCCCTTACACTCGGGCCTTGGTCACTCTCGAGGTCACTGCTGCCCTTCCTGCAACACCAGATCTACCTGAGCCTGTACCTACCTCTGCTGACTCCTGCTGAGGCAGGATCATTCTTGGTGCCCTCCCTTCTTTCTGCTTCAAAAGGGGAAGCAGGATCATTTTTCCACAGGGTCCTTTCAGGAGAGATTCGAGCAGCCCTTGCCTGGGAGTCTCTGAGCTAACTTGCTTTCCCCTTGCTGCTTCCCACCCCAGCTGCATAGACTCGTGGTTTGAAGTGAACAGATCTTGTCCAGAACACCCTGCAGACTGACCCTGCTGGGCTCGCTTGCTGAATCCTCTCAAAGGTGAGCCCATGCTTGTAGGTGCTCTGGGTTCCAGGCTCCAGGAACTGGTCTCTGGGGTCCTGGTGGTGGGAGTTGGGCTGCCCTGACACAGCCCTCCAGGAGAAAGTAGAGGTAAAGGGAGAGGCAGCAGCTTATCAGTGTGTAGTCTCAGAGTGCAGAGGCTTCCTGAGGAAGGATAAGAGGTGCACACAGACATGTACAGGAACATGAAAAGCACACCCGGAAGAGGTGGAATTAGTTGGGGAAACCCCAGTATGTTCCAGACATCCGGGGTGAAGCTTCTGAGCTCCTACACCAGTAGGAGGAGCAGGTGAGCCCGCATGGGGCTCTAGGTTTGCAGCTCTGCCCCAGCCTGCTCACCTCTCAGGGTCTTCTCTGTGACAGAAAGTGACAGTTCTCAGTAAACAGCCGGCCAGCCCATGGCAATGTGTACTGCGTCCTGAAGAATGCTTGTCAGTGGTCATTTTATCGCGGGTCCTCCCTGCCGATCACCTCCTACTCCCTTCCAAATGAATCTGGGGCCTCTGAGCCAGTCTCAGCCCCTCAGTACTGCAGCACAGGGTCGGGATGACAGCAGGCCAGCACCTTGGCACCCTTCCCCACATGCCCCTTGTGTCCCCAGGGTTACCACTGGTCTGCTTCTCCATTCCTCCCCAGGGAACCTTGCTTTACTGTTGAACATCCTGTTCTGTCCCCTGCCCACCAGTGCCTTCTGAGTTCTGGGCTGGCCTTCTCCTTCCTTCCCCTCCCCCCTTCCCCTCCCCTTTCCCACTCCCCCCCCCCACTGCGGATCAAACTTGGGACCTTGTGCTTTTGAGGCAGGTGGTGGAACCACTGAGCTAAATCCCTCGCCCTGGGCTGGCATTTTTATTTGTCCTGGCAAACAGATAAGCCCAAAGTCCAACTCCCTTCATCTCACTCACATCCAAAGGTTTTGAGGTTGGTCCTCCCTCCCGGTTTTTTCTTTTGTTGTGTTTATTTTCCAAGTAAATGCCCAGAACAGCTGGTGGTGTCAAACAAATCAGGGACATTTGCTCTTTTTACCTTCACCTCAAAAACTGATGACTAGGGGAGAAGAAAAAGCAAGGGTGAGCGAGACAGAGGGAGTGAGTGGAGCCTGGCTCAGCGTGCGGACCTAATGCCCAGGATGATGTCTGGCTCTGGGGAAATTGGCCAGCCTGCCTTTGGTGGGATACTTGCTGCCACCACGGGATGCAGCACTGGCCCTCAGCCAGACAGAGCGTGACTGACTTATTCCAATCCACACAGGGACACACGGCCCCTGTTCTGAGAGGCTCATCGGACACTGGGGCAGAGCTGAGCTTGGGACACCAGTGGGAACGGGGCACTCCTTCTGCACTGACTTGGACAGCGGTTCTCCCTCCTCCCTGAGGACACCAAATCGGACGAGAGAAGAGTGAATCGACTGCTTATCCTTCCCCTCCCCCCTCAGCCCAGGAGGGAAAGGGCATTTTCTTTTTCACCTTTGAAAGGCATTGTGGGTCTGTCTTTAAAGTGTTTACAAAAAAAATTACATAAAAAAAAGTCTAGTGTCGACTGGTGTTTTCCCTCGTGATGTTTACAGATTGCTGTTTGCTGCCCAGCTGTAACCCACTCAGTGACAACCGGACACAGCCACAGCCTCGCCACCCGCGCTCTGACGGCAGGTGGCACACACAGTCTCATCCTCTGCCCAGCACCCCGGTCAGCGCTCTGCATCACCAACCTCTCTACTTTGGGGTGTTTTGTTTTGTTTTTGGTTGTTGTTGTTATTGTTTTGTTTTCTATTTCCTCCCTAGTTTTCTGGCTTGGTTTTGCACTTTTCTTCCCTTTGAGACCCTGATTGATAACTTGATTTCATTGCCAACAGAAACAAATGCCCATCAAGGACTTTCTCCTCCTCCAGTCTCATGTCTTCACCCTTTTTTCCTTCTGGTTCTGGTCAGTTCAGAGGATTTAACAATCACAAGTGTCCTGCAAAAATGCCTGAACATTTCTCTTAGGCCCTTGTGGATTTTTTTTTCCTCCAGAAAACATAAATAAAAGATTTACTGGAGACTCATGTACCCATACCCCTTTTTTCAGACACTCTTGTTTGAGAACATTTTAGCCATTAATGTTCACACGTGGCATTGGCCCATACAAGATAGGTTTCTGTATTTATATATTAAAATACAAAAAAAAAACCCTTCATAAAATGTTTAAACAATGTTCAAAGCTTGGGAGAAAAGCTTTCTTCATCAGTCAAGGTGTTTTGATATGGTATTAAAATAATGTCTAATAAAAGATACACTGTGTGATTTTATTTTGATGCAGTACTGTTAGAGGATGAAGAATTGGGGACAAAAGCCCCTCCTCCGCCCCTCACCTACCTCCTTAGCATTCCTGCAGGTCCTCACTGCTGTTCCTGGCTAGCAGGGAAGGGGTGGTTCCCATGTTCACTAACCCGCTAATTGTCACGGAACTGATCACCATCACCTGTGGAGCGGCGGGAATGGAGCTTTTCTGGAAAGGTCTGCAGAGGCAAAGCTCGGAGCCACCGGAGGCCACAGAGATGTGGTTCTTCCATGTACCAGCCCGGCACTCCCACCCCCTCAACCTCTGCTCCCCATCCCACACCCTGCCTGCCTGTTGCTCCATCCGGATCTCAGTGCTGACTCATGGGCATACTTCACTGAGGCCCAGGAAGGGGCCTGTTTTGAGGCTGAGCCAGCTCAGAACCCTTAGCCAACCACTCAGGTTCACAACAGTTGGCAAACTGCAGGCTGGCCAGGAAGTACAGGGCAAGTGGCAGCAGTGCTTGCCCAGCCTGTCTCCAAGCCAGGGAGCTGCACTCCAGGGCCGCCTCCTGAGCCAGCCAAGGAGAGTTTGAGAGGAGGACAAATACACCATACCTTTTCTGCCTGATCCTCCCAGGCCTGTCCTTTATGCTGCTCCCTAAGGCCCAATTCTACCAGGGCCTCCGTCTTCGCAGTCACCTCCCTCAGATGCTTCCTGTGGCGCCTACTTTGTGCAAGGGCATTCCCTGCAGGCTGGTGGGCATGCTCCTTGTGCTCAGAGAACTGAAGAGTGTGGTTCAGAGCCTGGGCTACACTGACATCTTACCTGGGGGGATACCCTGGGACTTAAAAATGCTTGAGAGGTTGGTGGCCAGAACAGGGTCTCCGTCTGCATTTGGGCTGTACTCCTTGGCAGAATGAGGAAATGACTTCATTCATTGGAATGTCGGATTGTTCGCATGTGATGTGGGGACAAAAATACAGCTCAGAGGTCACTGCAAGGGTCAGGATCTGCCCTGAAGCCCTGGTACATGCGCAACAGGCTTCCTTGTAGCTTTGTCACCGCAAAGGGCACAGTTCTATTCACAGCACCTTCTGCTTCTGCCTGGCAACTGTGTCTCCCTGTTCTATATTTAATTCCACCAGCAAAACTGGTGGGGCAGGGGCCCAGCTCTGAAGATTTCCTTGCCTGACCCCTGGACATGGAGAAGGCGCCTTTGTGCCCCACCTTGGCGGCCCGAGCCTGGCTCATTCGGTGGTGTCACAGTGAGCCAAGTGGTTGTGCACTGGGTGAAGGAGGGCCAAACTGGGTGCTATTCCAGGCTCCCAGGCTCATCTCCATCATGGGTGACTCTGCTCCCACCTGGCACACTGCAGCCCTCTGCTGGCTGCTGCATCCTCTGTGAGTTCTGACCAGGTTGTCAGCACCTGGCATGTGAGTGGGAGTGATGTTTGTGACTTCCATCCAGACAGCTCTCCAGAATCCTCCATTGCCCCTGCTCTGCGAGGGAAGAAAGCATGAAGGAGGTTGCTCATCTAAAAGCCATTTAATAGTGTTGGGGTTTATAGAATGTCCTTAACCTTTGGCAATAATGCGGAATTATATAGGTGAATGCTTTCGAGAAATTTGTAATCTAATGCTAAATGGTTCCCCCAAAATACACAAAGCAAATAAGGCAAAAGTGTCCATTGTTGAATCTTCAGTGGCTGGTATTTCAGTGAATGGTGTACTTGTTTCCAACTTTTCTGTATATTTAAAATTTTTCTTAATAAAAGAAATTGTAGGTAAATGGTTGCTTGTGAGTGCCCAGTAGCTGTTGATCACTGGAGGGTACGTCAGAGAAAAGCCCTGCTGAGGCAGATGGCCACTGCAGAATCCACCCTAAGGTTGGTGGGAGCAGGTGGTCTAGGAGGGGCAGGGCTGGAGAACATTCTCCATGGTGAGCGTGCTCTGGCTGGTGAGGGAAGAGGGCCACTGGGACTTGCCACCAAACCATCCTTGGCATCACGTGCTCCCAACCAGGGCAGCTGCACACAGGAATGTCACCGAAGAGTGTCCTCAAGCCCACATCCATCGCTGTCTGCTAGAGCCCAGTATGAGCAGAGTCCCAAGAACCAGGGTTGGACTGAGCGAGTTCCAGGGTGGCTGCCTCTGCCCAGGGCCCGTGAGAGGGGTGTTAAGGGGCCACCAGGGCTTTGGGGAGGTTGTGAGGTGAGCAGGAGGTACTGTTGACCTCTGCGGTGGCTCTGTTGCACCCCCCCACCCATCTTCACTAAAAGATCAAAGGCCTTCTGGGGTAGGGGACATGGACAGCACTCAAGGCTCCTGGAACCTGTAGTGGGTAGGGGCTAGACTGGCCACAGAGTCCCTCCCAAGCCCTGGGAAGTGGATGGCCCACAGCTGAGCACTACAGGCCTTGCACGGAGGAGTCCTAGGCCACAGCTACCCAGAGCAGACGCTGTAGGGTCTGAGCTTTCTGGTGTCAGGCGCCCTCTTGTGAGCTTAGGAGGATTAGTTACTGAGCACCCCAATAAAGGCTCTGGCTTTATCCCAAGACACGCAGGCCCCAGGCTGGGCTGACCTGGCCTTTGAGGGCAAAAGCTGGTAGGACAATACGTTGAGCCACAGAAAGATGTGGGACAAGGAGCAGAATCTTTCATTTCTCAAAATCAGTACCAGCTGTTCTAAGGCCCAATTCAGGCCTGGTGAGGCTATCATAAGTGACCTCCTCTGCCTGAAGGTGGGACAGAGATCTAGTTTCCTTCCAAACCCTGAGCAACATCCCCCTCCCCAGCCGCTCTGTCAGGGGATGGGCCCAACAATGAATGGGTCACTGGCCCCAGGACAGGGACTCTGCAGGGGAGAGGGTGGTAGCTTTGGGAGATGCTGCTTGCTGATCTCCAGACAGCTGCACAAGCATTTCAGATTCATTTGGGGCACCCCAAAGAGAAGACCTACCCTCCTGAGGTGGGAAGGCCCTTCCCATTCTAGGGAAGGAGTGTTCCTATTATCAGGTGTGGGTAAAGGGTCCTGGGCCCCAGCACAGGGGTGGTCTCAGAGAAGGCATGTGATTTGTCATGAGGTAACCCACGCTGGCTCTCCCAGCAAGGACAGATGTGTAAAGCACAGAGGAAACAGCCTCCTTTACTGGACCAAAGGTTCCTGAGGGCAGCAAGGAGCTCAGCTTCTTTCTTGGCCTTCTGGCCATAAGCCCCTACTACAGAGGGCTGGCAGAGATGGCTTCAACCACTGTCCACCCCTTGTCGGGCTGGTGTTTCCAGAAGTCAGGCTGTCATCTAGGGGCTTGCTGGCCAAATCCTGGGCTCCTCATAGCACCTTGCCTGGGTTCATGAGGCCTCGGGGATCCAGCATGACTTTGAGCCGCCGCATGGTCTCCAAGCCCACGGGGCCTACCTCCTCCTGTAGCAGCTGCCGCTTGCCAATGCCAATGCCATGTTCCCCAGTGCATGTCCCACCGAGTGCAAGTGCCTGCCTGAGATGAGAGGAATTCTCAGCAGGCTCTTTTCCCATCCCTTCTGCCCTCCCCCACCCCACTAGGCTCCCACCTGGCCAGCTCTTCTGCAAAGGTCTTGACCCTCTGGAGCTCCTCAGCGTCATCTGGGTTCATCAGCAGGAGGCAGTGGAAATTGCCATCGCCCACATGTCCAACAATGGCTCCTGGGGGCCCAGAGGACAGAGCAGTCACTTCCAGCCTCACCTGCCCGTGGCCCCGGGCACTAGTCAGCCCCCACCCCCATCATGCTGTAGCAGCAGGTAGGCAGAACCTGTGAGTCCTGAGGCCTTCAGCTTCTCCTTGGCATGCACCAGGATCTCCGGCAGCCGGGAGATGGGCACACACACGTCGGTAGAATAGCCCTGGGTCAGAGGCCAGCCTGTGAGGCTCTGCCCTTACCCCTGTCTGCTAGAGGTTAAGGCCTCACTGTGGTCAAGGCAAAGAATGGGTCTGGGCATATCTGGAGTCAGCTCTTGGCCTCACAGAGGAAAAGCTTGCTCTTATCCAGACGACTGGCCTGGGTGTGTGCTCCAGGCCTGTCAGCCCAGGCCCTCACCACTCCCTGGGCCCCCCCACCCTCAGCTGCATGCAAAAACCCCACACCCCACACTACTGAGCCTCTGCTAGAGTTGCCTGGGGCCCAGCCTCCCTCCTGGTTGGAATGACCACTTCCTCTCCACAGCTCTTCCTCCAGGAGGCCCTCTCCCTTGTGTTTACAGCTCCTAAGAGCCCAGCACTGCTGCAGCGCCTGGGTGACAGGAAGGACTCCAGGCCAACAGTGGTCCTTTCCTTCTAGGCAGCATCTGAGAAACAGCTGAGTCTAAAGTAACGGGTTGCAGTGCTGCTCAGCCAGGTGTCCCCCCGGTCCCTGCAGGCCTCAGTCTGCTGCTGTGTACGACAGTGTAGGAGGCTGAGAAGGCTCATGGGACAAGGTACGGGTCCCAGTTCCACCCCAGTCTCAGCTCACCTTGTGGCCTGGAGCCAGGGCCAGGAGTGCGTACCAAGCGTTGTGCCGTGCTGTCCAAAGCTGGCTGCGCTCCTTTGACTCCTTGGCCCAGGAGAAGTGGGAAGCGCCATTGCACTGGGTGATCTCCTCTGCGGTCAGGGAGGAAGGTTGACCCTGAGTCCACACTGGGAGACCCCTGGCCCACAGCCCCACCCTCCTCAGCACACCTGCCCGCTGCAGCTGCTCTGCCAGGGCCTGCTCGGAGCCATGGAACTCAAGGAAGAGCGTGGGAGCCACAGAGTAGTTCAGCTTGCTGTACTTGTTGCAGGCGTCCATCATGACGTCATCCAGGAACTCTGGGAAGAGGGAAAGGGACGGCCTGGTGAGACTGGGCCTTCTGAGGACTCTGCACTGGTACCCTAGTCCCTGGCTCACCAATGCGGGCCAAGGGCACTGCAGACTGGAGCATCTGTACAGTGCTGTTCACGGCAGCCTGGACACTGGGGAAGGCACAGGTGGCGGCCACCGCGGCTTCAGGAGCAGGATGTAGGCGCAGAGTGGCAGATGTGATGAGACCCAGCGTCCCCTCGGAGCCCACAAAGAGCCCTGTAAGGTTGTAGCCAGCTGCACTCTTCCTGGGCCCAAGAAATAAGGTAGGTGATTGCCCAGGCTGCATGCTAAAATATTTCTGTCCAGAAGTCAGAAGCTGGAACCCAGGGTACCATTTCCCTAGGTAGCAAGGTTTTAGCTGGCCTCCTGCTTCTCTGATTGTTACTCTACAGCCCTGATCAGCCTTGTGCAGGGACAACAAACACCAGCACCACCTACTGGCCCATTTGTGCGGTTCCAGGCCTCACCCACCTATCCAGGCCGGTGGCTGGAGGAGGGAAGCCCATCAGCTTCAGTGTCTACTGGGGCCCTGGGCTGGGGACAGCGGGTGCTCACTTGAAATGACGACCCTGGCCCGCAGTGTGAAGCAGCAGTCCGTCAGGCAGCACCACCTCCAGGTTGATCACGTTGTCACGCATGGTTCCATAGCGCACCGCATTGGTGCCTGAGGCCCCAGTGGCCGCCATGCCACAGAGAGAAGCATCCGCACCTGGGTCTGGAGGGCAGAGAGCAGGAGAAAACAGCCCAGCCCCCAGGCCCCAGAGGGAAGGTGCCAAGTCCCAGGCCTACCTACAGGAAACCAGAGGCCACAGTCACGCAGGTAGGTGTTGAGAGCTTTACGGGTGACACCGGGCTCCACCACCACAGAGAAGTCTGCAGGATTCAGCTCCCTGATGCGGTCCATATGGGTCAGGTTAATGCACACACCGCCCTGGTGGCAGGGATGCGGAGAAGGCCAGCTGATCTAGTCTCGGGGCCAGACACAGCCCCAAGACCCCAGACCTTTTCAGGGGCCCCAGCACCACACTAGAGCCCCAGCATGGCCTGTGGGGTTGGCCACAAACCTGACAAGTGTCATGAGACCAGACCTGGGGCACCACTCTACCTGCAGAGCACAGACTCCCCCCTCCAGGCCGGTGCCCGTGCCAAATGGGATGATGGCCACGCCTTGGCTGTAGCACAGGGCTGCCAGCTGGCTGACCTGGTCCACATTCTGGGGCCACACCACAGCATCAGGAGGGTAGCACCTGGAAGCAGACCCCAGCAGGTCAGCGGGGTGTGGGGGCTGGTCCTGCTCATTTCAAGGAGCTAGGAGGTGTTGCAGGGCTTGAGGCCACAACTACGCGAGGGCAGAGGACGTCCCTTTTTTGGTGAATGCCAGAGCACCTCAGAAGAGGTGGTGGGCTCGCGGACAACCCAGACCCTCTGTCCCAGCCCGGGGTTTCTGATACCTGTACATCGACTCATCGCGCCCGTGATGCTCTCGGACTGCAGCAGCCGTGGACACATGGGGGCGCCCCACAATCGCCTCCAGAGCTTCCACAAAGGCCCCGCTGAGTCCGCGCTACGAGGAAGAAACGGTGTCACCCAAAAGAGAGCTGGGTCTCAGCCTGCTCCTTAACAGGCTGCTCCGCGGTAAGGCAGAGCCTGGGGAAGTAGAAATCAGTCTCTCCTCCCTCCCAGCCCCCTGACCTGTGGCGCCCTGGGGCAGTAGCCACTCCTGGAGAACAGCCCCCAGGTGACAGCCCGGAGTAGCAGGGCCATGGCAGGACGGTGACCCGGAGCCGCGCTAGAGGACTTCACCTGGATCCCCGCAGCTTAACTGCCCATTGGCTGCACTAAGGGGGTGGAGTCTACTTAAGGTGGTGCAGGTTTAAGGTGGCCCTTGTAAATCTTGCGGGTAGAGAAGTCCGTGAATGCCAAGGTCAACATTTCTAAAGGAGAGGGGAGGCTTGCCGGACACTCTGGGAAACAATGGCAGTAGCCACTGCCTGCCTTAACAGTCTGAGATGGCTTCCCGTGGCCCTTCAAACACAAAAGGCTTGCGGAGGGCTTTAAAGTCCTGCTGGCCATCTGACCCACTCCCTTCTAATCACCCCTTTAACCTGCAGGCTCACCTTTCCTTTTGGTTCCAGTCCACCAGCTCTGGACAGTCTCTGGGCTTGGCATAGCCCATGCTCTCAGTTGACGCCAAGTTCCTGACACTCTTCTTGGATGGCGGGGATTTCTTCTCTTTACAAGTCTCAGGCTGGGGTCACGGAGTTTCCATCAGGACCAAGAGGAGGGGAGAACCCAGACCACTCCTCCTGGGATGGAATAGCGGGCAGCGGGGCAGGCCAGGAAGACTTCCTGGAGGAGGAGAGCTGAGAACTAGCAGCACTCCTCCAGGTAGGTGAAGACTTATGCGTCTTTCATTTCCACCTCCTTTAGGGCACAGCCAGGACCGCCCTGGGGTACAGCCAGGAATGGGGTAGATGCCAAGCGTGAAGCTATTCCTATGTGAGCAATAAGAGGCCCCTTGCTGGCATTGCGAGGTGTTATGGCTTGACTCCAGATGTCCCCCAAAGCCTCATGTGGTCAGAGGTAGCTGAATCTAGAGTGTATGATACTGGGATTAAGGGTGGGTGATTATTAAGTCAGTACCCTGATAGCCTTGGTACTGCCCTAATCCGGGTAGCCAGGATACAATATAGGAACAAAAAGAGGCTTGTATTGCCCTTGCTTTTGCTGCCTTCTGTGTACCCACAGTGAACTGTTTCTCCTCTGTGATGCCCCCTGCCATGTGCCACCCTGCCTTGGAGCCAGCTGATAATGGACTGAAAACTGCACAGCAAAAAAACCTTTCCCCCTTTAACTGTGGGTGTTGGGTATTTTTGTCTCAGCAACGAGAAAAGTAACTAAGACACTGAGATAAAGCTACATGTAGCTTCGGTTTTCTTCTTTTGAGTCAGGGGTACTAACTTCTTGAAGAACTAGTTGAGTTCTTCACCCCAACCACTTTTGTTGGATGAGTTTGTTAAAAGCCAAAATTACAAGCTGGGTGTGGTGGTGCATTTCTGTAATCCCAGCACTCTGGGATTCTGAGGCCAGAGGATCACAAATTCTAGTCCCACCTGGACAGTTTAGCAAGATTCTCCTTAGACACCACAGAGAGTTCCTGTACGCTTCTGACTCCGTTGTCACTAGTGTTCACATAATATGTCGCCACATACAGTTACTGAAGCTAAAAAATTAACATTGGCGCAATACTACAAGTGTAAATTTATTGCTTTTTTGGGCTCACATCATCCCCTGCCCCGTTCTAGGATGTTGTCCACCACCTTACATTGCATTTTGTTGCTCCATTTCCTTTGTCTCTTCTAACCCATTTGTCATTTTGTCAGTCTTTCCTTTCTTTTATGACCTTGACATTTTGCGGGATACTGGCCAGTTACTTTATACTACACTCAGCAGTTTGAAGCTGTCTCGTGTTTTCTCATAAATAAATTGAGATTATGTATTTTGGGCAAAAATATCACCAAAGTGATGGTGGACTCTTCTCAAAGTATTCCTTTGGAAACACATGGTACCACACTAACTTTTCTCCTTGTGGTCAGTATACTGGGGAGAGATACTTTAAGACCATACAGATATCTTGCTTCTTCTCAAGCTTTTACTCACTGTTTCTAGCATTCTTCAGTAGCTTTCGCCTACAATCACTATTTCTGTGGCGTTCTAATAGGGATTTTCTTATTTATTTACTTATTTATCTCAGTTCTGGGGATCAAGCCCAGGGACTTGTCCAGGCTGGGCAGTGCTCCAACACTGAGCTACATCTCCAGCTAATGGTCATTTTCTGTTTCTCTTAATCTTCTATAGTGCTTAATTAGAATCATTCTCTAAGGGACCGCAGATTTTGCTCAGTGGTTCTACTGCCTGACTTGTAAGTGCAAGGACCTGAGTTTGATCCCCTAGACCAAAAAAAAAAAAAAAAAAAAAAAAAAAAAAATCCTTCATTTATTTATTATCAGTACAGACTTGTGGACATTTCTTTTATTCTGTAGGGCATAATCTAATTCTATTATTATTTATTTTGTTGCTCCAATTATGCCAACTTGGACCACTGGGGACTCCTCTCGAATAGGTTTCTCTACCCTTTACGCTGACCCTCTCTTTTTTGAGCGCTTCCTTACTTTCTGTCACCACTAGCTGTTCCATGCTCATCTTGATTTTTTCCTGCTCAAACTCTACAATCAACCATTTTTTCCAGAGAACTCTGCGAGCATGGTATCCCACATGGAGTACTGGAACAGAAAAAGGATATTGAAGATATTTGGTACAAAAAAAAAAAAAGATACTGGTTAAAAACTTAGAAGTCTGACCAACTATGGATTTTGGTTGATATTTTCATTAATTATAGTATACGTACCATAATAATTAATGTAAGATGTTGGTTAAGAGAAGTGTACAAATCGAAAATCCATTATATAACTTTCTGTAGATGTAAAACTGCTCTCTAAAAGTTAACTTTATTATAGATCTGTGGGCACCTTGATCTTTGACTTCCTAGCTGTTTATTAAACCAAAAAGTTTTAATGTGAATAAAAAATAAAAAGCAGAAAGCTAGTCATACTGGAGCACTCCGAAATCCTAGCCCTGTGGGACACTGAGATAAGAGGAGCCGCATGTTCAAGGCCTGAGCAACTCTTAGTAACTCAGTGAGACCCAGTCTTAAAAAATAAGAAATAAAAGGGACTGCAGATATAGCTCAATGCATAGGCCCTGGCTGGGTTCAATCCCTATTGCTAAAAAATGAAATTATTGAGCCAGGCGTGGTGGTGCGCGCCTGTAATCCCAGCATTGAGGAGGCTGAGGCAGGAGAATCGCTGTGAGTTTGAGACCAGCCTGGGCTACACAGTGAGTTCCAGGTTAGTCTCAACTACATAGTGAGACCCTGTCTCAAAAAACCAAAAAGGAAAAAGAAAAAAAATTATTTTGTTCCTCCATTTGTTAACACCACTGCATCCATTAGCTGTTGCTTTATTACAGACCTAAAGCGATACACATTTTCTCTTGCTCATGAGTCCACAGGTCAGCTGGGTAGTCTTTCTACTCTTAGTTTGATTATCTTATCTGAGATGGAACTTAAAGTAGTCAAATTCAAAGAGATGGCAAATAAGAGTGGCTGGGGCGGGGGAGGAAGTTAATGTTTAATGAGCATGAAGTTTCATTTTTATAAGTTAGAAAGAGTTATGGAAGGGAGAGTGGTGAGGGTCACACAATAATACCCCTGACCTCTATGCTTGAAAATGATTAAGATGGCAAATTTTATATGTGTATTTTCCGTAATGAAAAATTAGAAAAGCGTTCTCACTTCAGCAGCAAAGACTGAAACTGGAAGAATACAGAGAAAATTAACATGGACCTGAGCAGGGATGAAACACAAATTTGTTTTTTTGGAAAGCGGAAGGGTCATTCTGTTGTATTTCTTTTGTTCTTGTTTTTTGTTTTCTGTTTTTTTTAATACCAGGGATCAAACTCAGGACCTTGTGCTTGTGAGGCAGGTGCAGCGCCACTGAGCTAATCCAGGCCCCTTTTTCTTCATTTTAAAAGAACAACAAATCCCTAGTCCTACAAAAGTTCATATTGAACTTTTACATTTGAATTAAAGATTGTTAAACATGAAAAAAGACTAAAAAATGAAACAAAACCATATCCTCCCCCACCACTGATCCGACCTCCTTACCAGTGAAGGCCACCTGGCAGTATGTATATTTCACTTTTGGTTTGTTTCCTGCACCCCCCCATACATTCCACAGGGCAGAGAGCTGTGTGTCATGTTCAAGCTATGCCCTGCTGTGGTTCTGTCATCCAGCAGCTCCTGGACTCACTTGATTGCTGGAATGCAGGATGACAGAGTAGAAAACCGAGACACTTGAAGGGTAAACCTAAAACTGTCACTTAGTAACAAAAAATAAATCATTTGAACCTGGCAAGGAGCAAGGAACCCTCGCTAAAATTTGGTAAAAAGGGTCAGGGATTTGGCTCACTGACACTGTGCCTGCCTCAACAGTGCAAGTTCCTGAGTTTGAGCCCCAGCATGGGGGAAAAAAAAATGGTACAAAAAATTTTTAAACATTGACCTCCTCTGTCCATGTGAAGAAGCAAACTTGACACTTTGGCTCGGTCAGTTTGGGAATGCTGTACTGGAATATCCCAGACTGAGTTACTTAGTAATTTACTTTTGTTATTTTGAGGCAAGGTCTCTCTGTGTAGTTCAGGCTTGCTTTGAACTCACTATATAGCCCAGGCTGGCCTCCAACTCCTGCCTCGGCCTCCCAAATGGTGGGATTGACCTTTGCCACCATGTCTGGCTCAGACTAGGTACTTTATTATGAGCAGGGGCTTATGTCTTACTATTCTGGAGGCTGGAGAGCGCAGTACCAAGCTACCCACACCTGGCAAGGGCCTTCTTGCAATGTCATCCCAAGGTGGAAGGCAGAAGGGCAAGACAGCAAGAGAATGAACTGAGCCTCCTGCCCTCTCATAACATGTTAGTGCAGTCATGTGGGGGGAGCCCTCCTGACCGCAACACCTCCCAACACTGCTGCCATGGCGGTCAGGTTTCCAACGTACGAATTGGTGGGGGACACCTGGCATAGTTAAAGTGTAGCATGATTGGGAAAGTCCAGACCATGTGAAATCCTTCGGAATGCACAATGTTTTCAACAAATACATAGCGAAGAAGTTTTTTGTTCTGTTCTGTTTTGTTTTTTTAAAGAAGTGGAGAGAATGAACCAGCTGCTTGGCTCAGAGCCGAGAGGTTTGAGTCTCTACCCATTGGGA